TCCAAATTGTATTTGTTATTACAAATGTCTGCAACTACTATAAATCTGAATCATCTACCAACCAGTGACTGGGAAACACTCTTTAAAAAGAGCTTTTGTCTTTAGAAATTCCTGATATTCAAATACTATAAAAATCATGTTCTTCCTATACATCATGCAAGTTAAAACTAGTACTGTAAGGGTGCTTCACTCACCCATACCAAAACAACACTAACACAACAACTGAAGAAAATGAAGTCATTAATTTTATTATGTCTTGTAGTATTTTCTTACAGGAAGAGAATGAATTCCCATCAAGTGACTAGAATTAAAGCCTACAGACAAACAAAAAAGTTAGTACTGGGTTACAATGTTGTACTTACTCTAAGTAAAAGAAGTTATCTTTGACCTTAACTTCCATGCTTTATTTTGCGGGAATCTTGTACGGAAGAAACATCCCTTTTTTCTGCCCACGTCACCTACTCTGACAATATACCTCTCCCCCTTCTAAACCCCAAATCTCTTTAATACACTTGGCAGTCTGAGAACATAACTGCTTGACATACAGTTACCAGTATTTGGAGAGATGTCTATCTGTTCCCTTGATAATTACCCATGAAATAAGTTAACTTGGCTTTCAGCCTCCACCACCAGTTATTTTTAGGACAGCATGCTCAGACTCCTTCACAAGCCCCCCCAAGAGCAGGAAGCCACTGGCGATTTTCCGAGACCTTTTTAGATCCCACACCAAGGGGCCTCTGTCACACGGCTGCACAACACAACTCTCAGGTGAAAGCCCAAGCCCTACTCTTCCCCCATCAGGCAGCTCACAGCAACTGGAGCATACAGACATGATCCCACGAATAAGACAGAAGCACATACAGGAAAACACAAAACCACTTTTAACTACAGAAGGTTTATCCATGATAGGATCTATGGATTTTAAAATTCTTGTATCAACAAACCACTTGTTAATAACATTTTTAATGTTGATTAAGTATGGAAACATAGATTTTTGTACTTGGATTTCAGTGACAGTATTTACTTAGAAAGACCCTGTACAGTTCTTATTCCCCATCCTTAAGAGTTTTCTCCAATAAAAACACCTGCTTGCCACATCTGGATGTCCACCCAGGTACATGTCTGTTAACATTTCTAATGTTAAATTGAGATGGCTTTAATTAAATGAAACAAAATCCACACTCAGAAGTGTGGATTTTCAGACACCACCACAGTGCTGAACTTCAGGTCAGAATTCAATATGAGTGCATATTCTTGAATTAACATTAATCCAGCCAGCATCAAGAGTGCATAAGCTATACCAGAGGCTTTGGGGTAAGTGAACCAAGTCATGTTCCCACATCTTGTATCCGATTAAGCAAGTGCAGGAGAAGACCACATCCTGCACATCACATCAGTGTGACTAACACCACACATGTAGGTATTACACATTCAGCTGGAGTTCTCCCCAGTTCAAGCCCAAATTACAAATGCTCAGCAATATATACATTAGGAAGTCAGAGGAAAGTGGTAATAATGGCAAAAGATACCCAAACGGATCACAGTTTTTTGAGCTCCCAATAGTTTAGCTGCACACCAGCATTATACTGGTGTCCCGCCCCATCTACCTGCTGCCGAAGTTATGCTCCCCAAATGCTGAAAAAGCAGAATCGAGAAATACTACCTTATAAATTTCAAATGTACAAGTGAATTCCTCTCCCTACTTCCTCCCTTACAAAACACAGCATCTCACCCCAACACGTATTATACAAGTTCAAGGAGATAAAACAAGGCAATTGTAAACTGCATCTGTAATCTCAAGCAGAATTTAAGTATGCAAGTAGAGGGAAAAAAATCTGCTGGTGTTTTAGTTTAACCTAAATCCTTAAATCTGTCAGACATTTCCCTTAAGTTTTTTCATGGAAGGAGAAGAGTTTCCCCATCAGCAACAAATACACAGAGAAGTAACATTTTTACACAACCAAGCCTGTTTTGTCTATTTGTTCTTTCATAGTCACTAGAAGTGACTTGTTTGCTGTAACTCCTAACACATACTGCTGAGTACACACTAGCTGTCACTACATTATAGCCCTGAACTCAGATCCCCAAACTTTTCTTTTTTTTAAAAGGAAAGAAGCTTTGTCTGAAGATGACCATACAGCTACGACAACACCCCAGTTCACGTACACCAGTAAAAATTTTTAGAACACTTTTGATTTCATAGTTACTTGAAACTAAGACATTGTGAAACACCCTGAAAAGCTTTGCAGCCTAAATGAGTCCTTAAGTTAGAAAATAGATGCCCTTGCAGGAGGCATTTTTTAAAATACTAGTTGACCACTAACCCCAAACATATGTTACGGTATCAAGTAAAATCATCTTTATTTTTGAGAATATTCCACGAGTACTTCTGGATTATTTTACAAAGGCAATGGCAGCAGATGCCTTCTTAATACTGCATTAACTGTTTGGAAGAACATCTGTAACCATTAACACAGTTAATACACTGTTAATACAGTGTGTTCTTTCAAAAAGCCAAGATTTTCCATTCTCCAAATTCTCAGCAAGCAAAGTTGTGATTTGTCAATCTGTAGTTCAATGAGTACCTCCAAAAGATTATACAAAAGATAAGTGTCATCTTAAAAACGCTGCACTTCAAATTGAAAATTTGCAGGAATTTACAAAATAAAAGGCTAAATGGTTGTCAGCTAAAAAACACACTTTAAGAAATGCAGTAAATTTGTCGTGCAAGATCACTGAAGTTCAAAAGCATTTTATCATATTGTTTTCTTCATAAAGCATGTCCAAAAGGTGACTGTATCAACCGTAGCGGAAAGCTTTGCCATACCTTCTCTTCTATTTAATAGTTTGTCAGAGGCTGAAAAGTGAGTATTTTCAGACATACTAAAAATTCTTTCAATTTTCAAAACTGCTATGATCTGCTGTATGTCTTAGAAGAGTTGTCTCTAAGGTGCAAGTCCTTTACCTCAGACCAATTCAGTTCACTGTACCCGTTTGGAATCATGCTCGTACCTGCACACCTTCTCACAGGCCTAAGACTGGAGTCACAACAGCCACCACTCTTTCTGCTTGCCTGGAGCACAAGATTCCAACAGGATCAAGAAGCATCACTGCTTTTTAGCATTTCTTTGCACTCCCAGTGACACAAGTTTTTGCAGTCTTTCTGTTAAGAACTCCAGGGACATCTTCCAGAGATCCAGTGAAGGAGGAGCATTAATTTTATTTTCCTTTGCTGCTACAGCAGACGGCCCCATCTGCCATCTGCAAAAGCTACTCCAGGGTGAAAATTTGCAAACAGGCAATGGCTGTTCATCTTAAAATTACATTCAAGGATGCCTGTTCAGTTTCAAGGGCACCTTGGAGGAGAGGAACTTCAAATTCCAAAGGAAAGACCTACAAAGCACAGCACTAGCTGCTAACATTGCTGCAAACTTCTTATAGACTGGGTACCAGTTTAGCCAGCCAGATGGCAGACTATTACATCAGTACCTGACAAGCGCTTGTGAGGAGCTCCACCAGTTGTGAGCACATGAACTTAAGGAAACCAGTGATGTTACACTGCAATTACTCAGAGGAAGTATTCAACTTAGACTTGGAGCAGCACTTGTTACATTTTTCCTTTGCTTTGGAGATTTGCAGGCAGGCTGTCAATAGCTCATGTACTCAGAGCTAATACAGAGAGTAATGGCATTTCCTTGGCACCGGAGAGATTAATATTCTGTTCAGCTACAACAACCAAACAGTGGTTTTGCTTTCACGAGCCAAAAAAAGCTACAACCCATCAGTTAAAAAAAGTTAAACCCAAGAGTACTTTACAGACTGAAAAGGACACAGCAGCCTGACTAGCAAAAAGAATCTGCAGCCACTCCGTATCTTCTGAACTCACTGCCACAATATAGGGAAGGAAAGGCATGGTCCCAACACACATCAACTGAAAAGACTCTGGATATACCATAGTTACAATACAGGTGGATATATCATCAGCCTAGTTAGGAAGGAGAGCAAGATCAAAAGAGCTCTAATTTTTATAGTAAAAGACCGCTTACACATCAAACCTGAGCAAAGGAAAAGAGATAAATTCCTTCCTGCACTGAAGGTGCACATCAGTGGCAAAGAGAGAGGATATTTCATTTGTACAGTTACATGATAGTGGGTGAAAGAGGACATGTGCAAGCAGGAGGGTGAATTTGGAATAACCAAAGAGCAGGATGAAAGCTAGCACATACAGATTACACTAGCAATGCTGAGCAAGTGTAAAGCCCTCTAAACTCTCTGTTCCACTTAAAATTAAGCTTCTTTGATAGAGCATAAGCTAGGGAATTTGTAGTTTAAGTTTCCCCAGTTAGCTGCAGATCTGAGTATTAGAGTTACAAGAAACAATCACAGGACAGCCCTGTTTTGGCGTAGTCTACTATCTGTATACAAAATTTTAATTTGAAAAAGCAAGGTAAGTACAATCCCCAGCTAAGAGAAAATAGAATATACACATTATTAAGACAGACACTGAAATGTTTGAGCTATTTCATAAATTTGCACTAAGACTCTAAATAGTCTAGGGCTTAAGTATAACAGAAGCCAAAACATAATGATATACAAACGCACAATCAGGATTCCCAAACATCAATGCTACCACATACCTGCAGCACAGAAATTACAAAAGAACCTGACCTTTTAAGATGTTACTCCAACTTAATCCAGAATTACAAACATTAAACTATAACCTGAAAACAAGCATTTGTTAATTTCACCATTTACATGCTAAAAATATTATGCCTAGTCATTTAAAAATTACGATTTCCACTTTTTGGAAGATTGCTGTCAATCTCCAAAGCATAAGATCAAAAGCGAGTCCATAAGGAATAAAAATACACATTTTCCCCTGTGGTTAACATTGCAAGAACGCATAATTTTTGTTAGTGACACTTGTACAAGCATGAAACACCTAGCATCAGTTGCCTTAACAAATACATCAATATTAAATATGAAATCAAAATTTGAACCTGTAGCAGCAGAAGGTTCTTGAGTTCTGACAGTAACAGAGGAAGACTCAGTCTCTTCAACTTTTTCTTCCAGTAAACTGGCATCTGTACTGAGTGCTGTGCTATGTGATGTGTTTCCAAGAGATCCTTGTTTACTGGAACTTTGGTCAGATTCAACAGGAATTTCTAACTGGACTAGAATGGAGGAAAAAGTTTTCATGGAGTAAAATGCTCACAAAAGCATCTTCCAGAACACTGATGTGTGCATTTATCACATTACAGTGGAGACAAATATCCATCTGTGCTCAGACTGCTTGCTGTTGTATTAACACAAAATTAAGTTTTTACAACACAGCTACTTGCAGCAACCCTCTCAATTTACAGCCGCTTAGAAACACACAAGGCTGCTAACTCTTTATAGCCTAAAATGTGACAGGTCTCCTCAAACCATTACCAGAGCTCTCCCTGAAAGAGAAAGGCAGTGAAGCACAGGGCAGAAAGAAGCATTATCTCCACCCAGTCTAAGAATAAAAGCATCCCGTCGGTGTTTTTAGTATTCAACAAGAGGATTAGACTGTAAATTTAGCATTTGGGTTACTTCTTCGATCTACAAGACTTTGTAATTACCTCATTTTCACAAGCATAACCTGCATCCCTTTAAAAAAAAAAAAAGAAAACAAAAAAACCCCCACAACATTTCCTTTAAGTTATTTTACAACCAAGGGAGCTCTCCTTTTGCAAGGCCAGCTATCCCACCCAGTTATTCCTCTACTGGAAAAGCTCCCACCACGCAAGGGCAATGCTAGAGTTACTGATGGAGAGGGAATCAAAAGCAAAAGGTAATCAAGGCAGCAGAAAGAGATATAAACTTTCCTTGAGTTTTCTCTGCACTGCTGATGAAATCAGGTTTTAATTGCAGATATAGAGCCTGCAGGTTATGCAAGTGAAAATACAGTGCTTGCAACAACTAGATGACTGCCATGCCACCACAAATCCAGAGTATACCAGGAAGCTGCTTACCCTTCTCAGATTCGTTTTGGTTAGATACTGCATCTTTCAAAGGCTGAATTTCCATTGAAGCTGTGACATGATCTGTATTTAAAATCTCATGACTAATACTAGATGAGAGTCTTGACGATCGTCTCCTGATCCGGTATCTTTCAGGGTTATCTGAAGAGTTCTTCAATTTTTCCTGACCTGAAATAGACAAATTTAATGGTACCTTGCAGTTACAGGATTACTAAATAGCTCACAAGCAAACTTCGAAGACCTCCCCTCCCAGTGACAGTTTGAAAGTGTGTTTTTTAAGGACTGAGGTTAATAGCAAAAGGTAAACAGCCCCGGTGATTAGACCTCTCTGTAAAAGCTACGATCGTATTAAGTTACAAATAAGCATAAAAACAGAGCAAAAACTTATCTTGTAGGTCTCTCAACTTTTTCTTTTAGTAACAGATTTGAAGTAAGAATACAGATCAGTATCTTGCTGGTAAAACACTGCTTTAAACAGCAACCGTCCCACAGACGTAAGTAATACCAGAAGTTAGATGAGACAATTCAGACACACAAACAACTTTGACCCTAAGCTGGATAACATATGAACACCGGAGTTTTAAGACTTTGTGGTCCTAAGGAAGGGAAAGACAGCCTTCTTCAGATCTTTGTCTCCTTGTTCATGATACTACTAGAGAAAATATAATTTTCTTTCCTCATCAACACACTCAAGTTCTTCAACATCACTACACAGTATACCAAGATAAAGTAGAAGCTATTAGACCGCAGTGACATGAATATTTCTCTAGTATTAAAGCTTCTTTGCTAAGCAATGTGGTAGATCCTCCATCTAGTAACTACAGAGTTTCTACAACTAGAAAAAGGCTTTTATAACCTTCTGCATATTGGAGACAACATAACCACTGCCTTCCCTATGTCTATGAACTTCTGTATCAAGACTCACAGCTTGTGGCTCCTTCATTCAAACCCAGATTCCAAGATTTAGAAGGGAATTTCAGCATGACGACACTACATATGAATGGCCAATTTAAGAAAAACAGGTGCTGCATTTCAGCCATTTCATGTATCACAGTTTAAGGTTAATACTGCAGACTTTTTTTTCCCCTCCATTTAAGCTTCAGGAACTTACATGTACAGGTTCTGTGAGAGTTGAACACCAAAAAATACTCACACAAGTGTTTTTCAATCCTGGGACGCTTTGACGGAACTTCACCTCCTTTAGGTATTTTCCGACGTCTTAACTCCAAAGTTATGGGCTGCAGTGTCTGAGAACTCGGCTCTACATATTTAGATAGAGAACAAAAATTGACTGGATATGAAGCTGCGAAACTCTTGAAAACATAAATTCCCAAGCCTCACAGTTAAAATACTGGATTTGCATAAATACAGTTTCACCTGGCTTTCCGAACTCTACATATTAGCATTTAATCCTACTGCAGACATATTTTCTGATATATGAAGATCACTTGCCTAAGTCTAATCTCTAACCAAACCACTGAAACTCCAAACCTGGCTAACAAGTATGATCTCGGGTGTCCTAACCAAGCCTGAATAAAGATTAATTTAAGATTTTTTAAGAGTTTTTAGAGACTTAGGCTGTGAAAGAGCCAGACACTTTTCATTCCTTTAGGTCAGTTTAGAAGGGTTCTGATATATGGCCTAAACATTTAAGTTTAGCTACATACCGGTTGGAGGTGTTATCGGTGGTCTTCCACGTTTTCGTTTAGTTTCTTTTGCGTTTTCCTGTGGACTCTTTACATTGTCGTTCTCAGGCTTCTTCTCAACGTGTGTATCTACTGAATATTCCATATCATTCTCTGATATATTCTCTTTATCTTCTTTTCCATCCTTAGATATATTCTTTTCTGAGACCTTGCCTTTTTCTGAGATGACTATCAATTTTCCTTCTTTATCAGGTTGCTTAATTCTTTTTTCAGTCTTTAATGTCTTTTCATCCTTGTCTTTCTTTGCATTACCTGTTGCTTTCCTCTGTTCTTTAAATTTCTCCTGCTTTTCAGGAGATGACGGAATTTCATCACCTCTTTCCTTAGGCTTAGCATTACCCACAGTATTCTAGAATAAAGAGAATGACATATGAAAATAAACTTACTGCAATCTGAAACTCCTCCCCCGCCTTTGTATTTAGCAGACTTGCATCTTGTCCAGTTTTTCAAAGGATAAAAGCATATACTCTGTTGCAACCCACAGATTAAAACTTAGAGGCACTCGAACTGTTGAAGGACCCATGCAGCTTCAACAGGACAGTGCGACAGATTCACTCTTTTCAGAACTCAACGGCATAAGAGATTTGCTCTTTCTTCGTTCTCATGTGCAGGTTAGGTCTGTACTAGCTTGTGCAGTACTACTTAAAGCCTACTTGGGACACTGAAGAAAGAGTGGGCATCGAGAGCACAGAAAAGGGCAAACAGCTCAATCACTTGGATGCAAAAGAGGTCTTCCTTTCACAAAAGTGTCTCATTCAAAATAGACCAGTATTTAGCTCGTAATTATCACTGCTACTGAAACATGCTAAGTAAAGAGTTACATAAAGCAATTGCAATCACCAGCTTCATCAGGAACCACATGATGTTAAAATTTACACATTTAAATTTAAAAACAAGACTTTAAACTTTGTCTTTCTGTAATCTGTGTTCAGTGTGAGAGGACATGAAAATCCTTAGTAGTCCCCAGCCACTGATACAATATTCAGCTGTAATCTCATTTCCCCGTAGTTCTTATATAGTAACACCAAACCAGGAAGAACACCCCTACATCAACAGGCCACTGCTACTCTATGTCCTCTCCCTCTTGTGATCAGGTTTCATATTAACACCACCTGGGGGGATGCTGATTTTGGTTTTTTCCCATTCCAATGATCCTGCTTACAGGCTGTCCCAGAACTTCTCTGCTCTGATGAACAGAAACTTTCTAACTTTGCACCTGGATTAATAATTTATATTTGGTCATGTGTCAACACTGCCTTTAGTTGAACTAACTTCCCTCTTCCTGTTGCCTAATAACTTGAAGCATTAAAGAGCAACCATACTCCTTTCCACCCATAGTTCTGCAAGGCACAACAAGCTTAAACTTTGAACAAGGATCAGAGGACAAGAAAGGCTAAATACCTCTTGATACTTCTTTGGGGAAAGAAAGCAGAACAGCTGATTTGAGTTATACAAAATTCTGAGAATACACTTAAGACTCACTATCTCCTTGTATTACACTACATCTTGCCTCTTCCCATCCCAATCTTCCTATCTATATGTGGCTTACATATCTTTTAAGATGGCCATTTTCAGACCACAGTCTTAGGAAATAATCTTCATGCAATAAAATGGTGAATGTGCAATCTGCTCCACCCTCTATGATATTATTTCAACCATACTTGGCACAGAGGCGATAAAAAAAATCACTTTTTAAAAATGTGACATCAAATTGCTGTATATTTCATGAAAACAGCTAGGCAAAGGGGAAGAAAGTCTTTCACCTTCTTAGGTGCCTGAGCACCACTTCTACCAGACATCATAAAAATCTGTCTTCTGTAAATTCCTGAAATGCCACAGCTATGGGAGAAGCTTCAGTGGAAATTCAAACATTAGTAAAAAAACCTTAAAAAACGACCCTCAGACATTAGGTTTCATCAGTTGTGCTGCTCATAGAACCATCCGATTTGAATCAAGTATGTGGCACTCGAACACACATGAACCGTCTTAATCAAATTATTCTCAAGAAACTGAACCATAAATACCAGTATGTCTGAATTACCTCTTGATGTTACTGAACTCTTAAAAGCTGTGTGTCCTTGCAGAAGCACATTCACACTCTGCAGGTCATCAGTGTTCAACCTAGCATGTTACATACTCTACACAGGACAGAGTAACACTGTCATTAAAGAAAAGATGACCAGCTTACATTGCTCCCTTCAGAAATCAGGTGGTTTTGGGGCTTTTGTTTGTTTGTTTGTTTTAAGAACAGCTAAGATACAAGCCATGTGTGTCTTCACAGCTACAGTCTCTCCTACTGATGAACAGGAACAAGACGCTTCCTTTCCACTGCCAGCATGCTGCTACATTAGTGCTGTATCTGAATCCACACCTTAAGTAACTTACATTCACAACTGAATCTTGAGCTCTCCAGTGGCTCAAGTATTTTTTAAACTTTATTTTTGATTGTGTAAACAGAGCTCACTAGGAAATTCTCCCCTTATGCTTTTATATGCTGAAGAACAGAACAAAATGTTCTAGCATAACTTATTCTTGGGTTAAGAGAAATCTTCCCGGCTAGTGGTTAAAGGGAGAAGAAAACTTAAACTCCTTTCAAAACCTACCAAAGCTACACAAAACATGAAACTCCCTAAAGGAGAGAGCAGAGACAAAATATTTTGCCTTTCTTATGCAGAATATTTCTTAAGATTGTTCAACTTCATGTATTTAAGGTTAAATATGGCAGAAATATTTCTCATGGCAATGAATATTCACCAGGTAGTTCCCTTGTGAGTATTAGTCAGCCCTCAACCAGGCACAATTATTACAATTTGAAAGCTATTAAGAGCACTTTGTGGCAAACCTGAAATAGTTTTCCCTCCCAGCCTGGCAGATACACAAATCTGGAGACCTCCAAGTAATGGCATGCCTCTTCACAACAGAGACAGATTTAAATTGTAGCCATGAATGTTCATTATTGGAATCTGTATTTAAGACTTGTGTTGGGGGGAGGGATTAAATTTCTTTGTTCAAACTTAAAGTTCCAGGAAACTAAAAGCAGAAGACATGACTAAGAACACAGGCCACAGCTACCACACAGGAATGTGTGGCAAGATCTCAAACTTAAAACCATTCCTGTAATGAAAATTATTCTGAGGCAGGTACTTAAGAAGTTTTAATCAAGTTACACAGGACTAGAACTTGTCAGCCTTTCCTACAAAGTGCCCGCACACGAAAACTGAAGTACAAAGCAGCACTTCCTCCTTGTCACCATGAGCAGAACAGATTCCCGCTCCCCCGCCCCCCCCCCAAGAATGGCTTACTGCTACTTTCCATGACAAGCTGAAGGTTGAATCCACAGCACTGAGCAGGTGAAGAGTTGGTAGAATACCCAAACCATAGCAGAACATGGTTTAGTAAAAAAGCTTACTTCTCAAAGTTTTGAGGCGAAAGATTACTAGATAGCTTCCTTAAAAGTCTCAAGACAATCAAGTTACTCTGGGAAAGAACAGTTTCTGTACACTCCATAGTTCCCATCCCTTAATGCATGTATTTAAACTAATCTCAAACAGGTGAAACAACCAAAGTGTGTTTCAGTAACCTACCACTAGCTTCAGGATGTACATTCTGAATCTTCCCATGATTTTTAGAAAACTGTTTTATTTATATGCCTATGACTTCTTTAGTTCAAGAGGTGCATTCGTGAGAACATGAACCTGAGAGCTTTGCAAATCATACCATGAAGTTTTTCATTTTAACATATTTTATTTCAGATGTATTGTATGTTAGCAATACAGATGTTTTATTCATTTCATATTCCATAATTCATCAAATCTAGCCACCTGAACTGTTCATTTTAGAATACATTAGTAGCACAAATAATACTTCAATACTTACTTGATCTTTGGAAAAAGCTTTGACATGAATGTTTTTGACAGTCTGAACTACACCATCATAAAACTTCACAGTGTATGTACCTAAAATTTGAAAATAAAGCATAAGAGTTTAAATATCAGAAGTTATTTAACAAAGCATCTGCTAACAGCTCCAATTCTCTAGCTGCATATTTAGCTCTAGATAAAAGCTGCCTTAACTGCCTGTTAGAAACTTCAACAGCAGAGGTCTTATCACAGGCCAGGTAAGGGACAAACCATGAAGTTACAAAAATAATTATAGTAAGCATAAAGGTGTATGTCTAAGCTTAGAGTTGCTCTTCAGATATACATTCCTCACAAAACCCCAAAATATTTTTGGTGGAATACTCCAGCAGATAATTACACAGACTTTTTCTCCTTGATCTTACACCATATAGTCAATCTAAAGAAAGCACAGCACAAGAACAAATCCTTCATGTTTACTTACTGATATTCAAAAAGGAGAAGCATGGCTGTGACATTTGTAAAGGGTCTTTTGCAGCTCTGACACTAGTTTTACTGCGGTTACATGCACGTTAGTTTTACTGCATGTTACATGGGCGGCAGTGTTGATCTGCTCGAGGG